TTTTGTAAAGATAATGGAATATTAAGACACAGAACTGTAACATATACTCCTTAACAAAATGGTGTTGCTAAGAGAATGAATAGATACTTATTGGAAAAGTGAGATGTATGCTCTATAGTTCTGGTCTTCCTAAGTTTTTTTGGGGAGAGGCCCTAAAAACAGCAACGTATCTTATAAATAGAAGTCCATCAAGAGCCATTGATTTTCAAGTCCCTGAAAAGATATGGTCTGAAAAAACTCCTGATTATAGTAAACTAAAAATTTTTGGCTGTACTGCTTATTCACATTAGAATGAAGGGAAACTAGAACCTAGGTCCCTAAAGTGTGTTTTTCTGGGTTATGGAGAGGAAACAAAAGGGTACAAACTATGGGTTAGAGACCAAAATGACTTTAAAGTCATTATTAGTAGAAATGTCATTTTCAATGAAAATGACATGCCTTGTGTAAAATCAACTGATCTTAAAACTTTAGAACCCGCACAAATGAAAGAAACCATCCTGGAAAACAAAACTAATGAATCTGAAAATCTAGATGGTCTAATTGAGGTGGAGACCTCTCAGTATGAGGAAAACCCTGATCAAAATGAAACTGAAATTGAGGTGGAGTCTTCAGATCCCACACTTGCTGATTATTACTTAACTAGGGATAGAGAAAGGAGAAATATAAGACCTCCAATCAGATTTAATGAGGAAGAATTTGTCACCTTTTTCTCTGGTCTGGACTTATTAAATTCTGAACCCTCTTCATTTGATGAAGCAAATAATTGTCCAGATTCTGAGTTCTGGAAAGAGGCCATGAATGAAGAAATGAACTCCCTCATCAAAAATAAAACTTGGGTTTTGGTTGAAAGGCCTAAAAACCAAAAGATAATTGACTGCAAGTAGATTTTTAAAATTAAATAAGGGGACTCTAACTCTCAAGATAAAAGATATAAAACCAGACTGGTGGCCAAGGGTTTTACTCAAAAGGAGAGGGTAGATTACAATGAAATTTTTTCCCCAGTCTATAAGAATAGTGTTGGCACTAACTGCTCATTTTGACTGGGAATTAGATCAACTAGATGTCAAAATTGCATTCCTCAATGGGGATCTTGATGAAACCATATACATGAGTCAACCTCCGGGATTTGAAATAAAGTCTAAGTTAAATAAAGTTTGTTTGTTGAAGGAGTCTCTCTATGGACTAAAACAAGCCTCCAGGCAATGATATATCAAATTTAACTCCTATGTGCAGACTTTGGGTTTGGTCAAAAGCAATTATGATTCCTGTTTTTTCTATAAAGGTTCAAGTGGACCTGAATCCATTTATCTGTTCTTATATGTTGATGACATGTTGCTTGCCGGCCATGATAGATCTGAAATTAACTTCATTAAATCAGAATTAAAATCTGAATTTGAAATGAAAGACCTAGGACAGGCAAAAAGGATTCTTGGAATGGAAATAGAAAGAGATAGGAATAATTGCATGTTAATATTGAAACAATGCATATATGTGAAGAAAATACTTGAGAAGTTTTCAATGCTTGAGTGTAAACCTGTAACCTTACCCATTGCTAACCATTTTAAACTGTCGAGTGAAAGTTCACCTAAAACAGATGATGAATTTATTAGAATGGAAAAGATTCCTTATGCAAATGTTGTAGGATCAATAATGTACCTAATGGTCTGTACCAGACCTGACTTAGCTCATGACATTAGTACCTTGAGTAGGTTTATGTCAAATCCAGGTGAAACACAATGGCTAGCCACGAAGTAGATGCTAAGATACTTAAAAGGAAACTCTGATTTAGATTTAATGTTTAAAAGAAGCAATGAAGGGGTAAAGTTAAAAGGCTACACTGATTCTGATTTTACTGGTGATTTAGATAAAAGAAGGTCAACATCTTCATATGTTTTCACTTTGTGTGATGGCTGCATTAGTTGGAAATCACAACTGCAAAAATTAGTTACTCTTTCCTCTATAGAAGCTGAATATATTGCTGCTTGTGATGCAGTAAAAGAAAGTCTTTGGCTTAGGGGTTTGTTAAAGGAAATAAGTTTTGAAAATAATACTGTTAAAATTTATACAGATAATCAAAGTGCCATACATTTGAGTAAAAATCCTGTCTACCATGACAGAACTAAACATATAGATATAAAATTTCACTTTGTGAGAAACATGGCAGAAAAAGGTTAGATAAGTTTGGTTAAAATTCCTACAAAATTTAACCCTGCTGATTTTGGCACTAAGGTATTACCTTTGAGTAAATTTCAAAATTGCTTGAAGATTCTGAATATTGCTTGAGATAGTAAAATCAGAATTTCAAGTGTTCAACATTTGAAAGATGTGAACTAATGTGTTCAATTTTTTTTTTCAGGTATTTAGAGCAAATGAGCCAATAGTTGCTATAGCTCTAGATTCACTAGTAGAGACCAAGAAATAGTTCAGCAAGGTGGAGATTGTTGTATTAGTTGGGTGCCTCACCATTTTTTTGCTGTCTCAGATTGAAACTTGTGGGCTTGATCTGTTTTGGAATTATTTTCGGGTTATAAATCGTGCTCTTTGAGGAAACACGCCTTTTGCCTCTTAAATGGTTGAGGTTCAGCCGTACACGTGGCTTCACTCTCACCCTTGGATAGTTGACTGATCAGATACTTACTTGGTTTTGGCCCTAATTCTAGATCATTCGGTCTCTTTCAACTCTTCGTCTCTCTGCCCTTCTCTCTGAGTGATAGATTAGGGTTCTTGGTCACTGTAATTCATATGATCTTAGTAATTTCTCAATCTGTAATCCTTAGTGGATGTTTCTAATTGTGTTGTATAGTATGTTAACGATTGAGAGTGAGTGGATTACACTTTAGAATAGAGGCGAAAGAATACTCGAAGAAACCTTTGGTTTCTTCGTACATGGTGTACTGATTCTTGGTTGATACTTAGTGGATCTTGAGCTGTATCACCTGTTGATGATGCTCAACGGGTGACTAGGTCGTAAGACCGAACATCCGGGCCCTTTTTGGGGCAAAAACATATCTTCGTATTCGATTCATTTTATTTTTCTGCAAATCTAATTTTTCTGCAAAACGATTTATTTTTGAGACTAAATGATCCTTCGACTTAACACCCTCAAATTCTGCGATGGCGCCTTTTCAACTATTGTGTACTTAATTAACCAACTTCCTACACAAGGCCTCTATGATTAGACACCCTTGGAGTGGTAGTTTCAAGCACGACCAAATCATTCATATAAGTGTTTTTATTTTTCTTCTCTCGGATGTGAGTATTTTTAAAATGGCTTCGTTGCCGAAATTACTTGCATCTCTTTTAGTATTTCATTTCCAATTACACATTTTGTTTAAATAAAATAATATCGTAGGTTTTAATCACACATTCTTTGGAAAAAAAAAAAAAGTTTACTTCTTAATAAAATCTATTATAAAAGAATATATATCAAATCCATCTAAATAAGAAAAGTTTATTACAGAATAAGAAAAGTTTAAGTGTAATAAACAAATCTCTGGAATATTGTCTTTGTTATGAGTGCCACCACCTGGAACACAAACATTCCTTCTGTAGTGCATCAAGTAAAGGACTTGCCTTTGTACCATGAGCCTGTGGTACGGAAATTTATACAACTTTTAATAAATATTATCGTTTTTATGCAGTAAACTAAGCCTCAAGGCAAGTTCAGAAATTTTTTCGAGGAGGGGCTGAAATTTAAAAAGTCAATTGTAGTAAATAAATCGAAGACCACAACAATTCAATAATGTTATTTAAATATAATCTATTATCAATAGCTATCAACAAATAAATGAAAAATTAGTGACATGGAAGCAAATGAAGTACGTACTAAATATGAAGTAGAGTAAAATAGAGGAGCATGAATATAAATAATAGCAAAAAAGCACGAAGTTGTTTGGGTTTCAATCCCTTCTTCGTGAGCTTCACCTTTGACAGCCTAATCGAGTCTTTATGGTGTGATATTCTCAGCACTATGGCTCTAAGTGCTAATCCGATTTCAATTTCAATCGAAACACATTAAATTGAATATTTACTTCAATAGAGAAAAGGTGCTTGACGAAATCCCAGTTGTTCAACATGTTTGAGCATATGACCAAGTTGCATGTATATTCACAAAGTCACTTTCTTTCACCAATTTTTTCGGGCTTCGTACCGAGCTAAAATGCTCTACAGAACACATCGGCCACGACTGAGTCGGGTCGGCCAAGAACACAAACTCGGTCCTCCAAACGAACACATCCTGTAACTTTTCACATGACATCTAAGTACAATTGAATCTGAAACTTGTTTTAAAATGCATTAGAATTAAAAACAAATTTGCTTTATCATCTCACACGGCAAGCAAAGCATAATGTCCGAAAAAGCCTTCACATTGCAAGATTGTGCCACTTACATTCCTTTCTTTAAGAATCTTCTTTAGTTTGCTCCATTATTACTTATAAAAGTTCAAAAACAGTCTTTTAGAGCCAAAAATCTCTCAACCGGTGGCCTTTGTGTCAAAAGCTAAATATATTTATTTGTAGAGAAAGGTAATATGACAACACAATCAAATATTTTGGGTCCTAATGTTGCAACACTTTACCATCGATTGTAGGAGCTGCACTAGTTTTACTTAAACAGAACCTGTTTAATACGAATTTGCCTTAATTTATATGACGTGACTAGATCTTGTCTTACTAATATCCAAATGATATGGTTTGTTTGCCTCTGTTTATGTTGTTACAATCAAACAACATTAATTGAATAGTTCAAATGGGTGTCATTGGCCAATTGATCTCGTCCATAGATGGTTGAACAAGATGAACAAGCCTTACTTAGGAAATGACTTTTCAATTATCTTGGGTCCCTCACAAAATTATTCACGTCAATTAAGCGATTATATAATGGTTAAAAATATTAGATTCCATAAACTTTGTAATTAAAAATAATTTTTATTTCTCCCAAACAAGGCCTTAATTAACACCATTTCAACTTTAAACTTAGCAAACATGTCAACTATCTCAAGTTTTCTGCCTCGAGAACCCCACGAATCCCAACACGTAATCGCTCATCAGAAGATACACAATCCCTCTTGATTTCTTTAATCACAGAAGCAAAATATATTAGCACAAATGGCTGCTGGTTTCTCGCTCTTTCCCCCTATAACCTCGGTGGAGAGGAAGTGCTGAATTATAATAGAATACCACTGCATTAAAAAACTATATGAACAGCTACTTTGATCTAGTTTCTAATTTCTAATCGTCAAAACCAATGCACTGTACATTGCACTTCCATCTTTAACGCCTGGGTTACATCCTACTCTTCTTACTAATGGTCGAGGGCCATTTTCACACTCAACCCGTTTCATCTATATTCTGTCTCTTCCACTTCCACTGCAGATTTTCATATTCTCTGGAAATGTTTTCTCCAGAGGATATGTGTCTCTGTTCTATTGGTGTCTCTACTTAAAAGTATAACTGTAGATTTTCTGGGCACGGTGTTTCTTGCATTTGCTGTATTTTCATTGTAATGATGTTATGCTCTTGAGATATAAGCCCTTAAAAGTTGAATTTACTACTCTATTCACTTCCAGATATGATTTTTTTGTTTTGTTCAGATTTTCAGTGAATCCTCGTGTATATTGGGACATTCACTGAACCGAATATGTTAACTTGTATAGCTTGTTCAAAGCGGCAAACTGGCAGATCTCTTCCCGACCCACCAGAAGAGGATGACACCGCCATAACTCCCTCCAGTAAACAACCAATCAAAGCCCTAACCAACCAGGTGATTTAACACTTCAAATTCCTCTCAAATTCATCATTTATTATTTGTGAGTTTTTTAAATACCAATTATTCTTAAATTATATGGGTACTTGTGTTTTAGATCAAGGATATGGCAGTAAAGGCATCTGGTGCTTACAAGTCTTGCAACCCTTGTTCCCGCTCCTTGAGCAACAACCAAAGCCGAGCCTACGCTGATTCTGAAGCCGGCTGGGTTTCAGAGAGAATCTATGGCTCCTATAGAAGGACAGGGAGCTTAAACAACCATCCAAGGCTATGGGGAAAGGAAATGGAAGCGAAACTAAAGGCCCTCTCGAGCGGCGAAGGCACGCCGTCTTCAGTTAGTTGTAGAAGTGTATCAGTGGTGTTCATGGAGGAGGATGAGCCCAAAGAGTGGGTTGCACAGGTCGAGCCTGGTGTGCTCATTACTTTTATTTCACTGCCTCAAGGAGGAAATGATCTCAAAAGGATTCAATTCAGGTACTACTGCTGTCAGCTTTTGTGTTGAGATTTCTCTTATAAAAATTCTAACTTTGTGGTGTATTCAATTTGAACATATAAAGAGATTTTTTGTTCAAGAATAGTAGAAAGTGGGAAGTAATAATTAGACCAAAAGAGTGAAAATGAGTTTTAGAACATAAGTCAATTTAAATTTTGTATATTCACACATTAAAAGCAAGAAAACAGTTCAATCAAGAAACAAGAAAAATTGAATCGAAATAAGCCTTTAATGGTAATATTTCCGATTTCAGTTCTAAAGTTCTATGCAAAATACCGGTTGATCTGAATCTGAAAGCTTTGATTTGTTTGGGAGCTATGAAACTAATAAGTTAGGGGATTGATTTTGACGAGACGATATGTGTGGTTTATCGTGGGACTGAAAATGGATGATTAAAGCTTAACAGGGAGATGGACAAAAAGAAATGAGTGAGGAACAAAAGTATGATGGTCGTCACTCCTCACTTTATAGGCATCTTTTAACCTTTCTTTTGTCTCCCGAGTGAAGAACAGACTAGATTTCTTTTACTTTCACCACATTAAACATCCAGCATCTTGTTATTTATCTACTTATGTGTGGTCCAATTCACCATAAACGCACATTGATGAATTTTTTAAATTTCAAGAGTTCAATGATAAGTCATGTCAACGCTTGGTGTGTTTCTGTGAAAAATGAATTAGACTTGTGTCCCTATTTTTATTTCAATGCAGTTCATTGGACTGCCTTCTAATGGTTGGGGTTAATTTGTATACCAACAATTTGTTTGGTTTACAGAAGCAACAATATTTTTTCATGGGGTGGATGAAATTTTGGTGGCACTTCTTTGTTTAAAACTATAAAAAGAATTGGGTTCTTTCAGTTGATGACCATTAATAGTCCCCATCAGTTATGCCCTAGGCCTTGATTTCACATGGTTTGTTTTTACTTTTTACAGTAATGTCATGTCTAAATTATGGGGTAATACATAAATTTACAAGTTAGAATTTTTTTTTCCGTAGTTAATCTTCATCATTCTGAAGTGGCTTATCCAAATAATTGCGAATATTGGATTCAAACTTCTCCTTAATGATTTTTCCAGTCGAGAGATGTTTAACAAATGGAAAGCTCAACGGTGGTGGGCAGACAACTATGACAAAGTGATGGAATTATACAATGTCCAGGGGTTCAATAGTGAAGCAGTACCAGAAAAAACTCTGCAGAAATCTGATGAGGAGGTGAGCTTTACTCCCGCCATAATTGATTTTCTGTTTTTATTGCTTAGTTCCTGTCTATTTCTATCTATCTAAATTTCCCTCTTTGTTTCTTTTGTATGAAACATGACCTAACTAGGTATTATCCGGCTGAAAAGAATGGTGATGAATTTTGACAGTAACTATTGTTTTCTAAAATTGACATCTTCTTTCAACCAATTTGAATCGTATATATATGTAATTATTTGATGATGATGCTTGTAGTTATTAGTATCTAGACCCTGAAATGGTTTGGCTGTCTTGTTGACTCATTTTTCGGTTCCCTGGATGCTACCAACCACCAGGGAGCAGATAATGTGCAGTATACATGCTTCTAATGCATTGAAATTGGAGATTTGGTGGGGGATAATTTTTTTAACAAAGGGGTAAAATGTGCTAATTTTAGTTACCAAGGGCTGCAGTTTGGAGATATATTTCATTTTTATGAACAATACGTATTGTGTTACATTAAAGAGTGTATTCTTTCAGAACTCAAACATTAAATCTGCTGAGCATAGCCCTGTTGAACATCATCAAATGCAATCTCGCGATTACTACGGCTCTGGTGATCTTAATTTGACACCAAAACTGTCCAGCATTAGTGCTGCAAAGACAGATGCATCATCCATCGATGCTTCTGCACAGTCTATTTCTTCAAGAGAGTCTGATCATTCTGGGGAGCTTTCAGTGGGCAATGCCAGTGATTTGGAAACTGAATGGGTTGAGCAAGACGAGCCTGGAGTCTACATTACAATTGGAACGTTGCCAGGTGGCACTCGTGAGCTTAGAAGAGTGCGGTTCAGGTGAGTGGCTCTCTTTATTCATACACACTACGAGCAATGTCATGTAACTTACAGTAAGGATTTTCATGTTTTAGTCTCATTTGCAAACCAAGTCAATAAAAACTTACAATGTTGCTTAGTTTTATGAGTAGTTTTAAGAAGGAAGACATGAAAGTTGTATTTGACTTTGAAATGAATGTCTGGTGCAGCCGAGAAAGGTTCGGAGAAATGCAGGCAAGGTTGTGGTGGGAAGAGAATAGAGCCAGAATTCAACAGCAGTACTTGTGAATTATGATTGACTTCTTCTACAAATAGGTTTCTAAAGTGTTCTATGATGCTTCTTAAGTGTACAAGATTCAACAGCAAGTTGGTTATCTTGAACTGTGAATTAGACCTCATTCTTGCTGCCTCCCCTTCTAACATGACCGTAAATTTTAGCCTAGTTCAACCTGGATGCAAAGGGTCCAGGAGAAAGAATAAGGGTGTGTTTGATTCACCCAATTCCATGGAAATGGGTGGAAACCATTTTCCACCCAAAATGTAGTGTTTGATTCACAATATTTTCCATGAAATTGGTTTCTAACTTTTATTAGAAGTTGTGCTATTCCTTGATTTGGTGGAATTTCAATTCTCACAAATATGGTGAGAATTGGAATTTTGCTACTGCAGCTATTTTTTTTCATTTTTTTTGGGCAATGGAAACCAATTCTAAGAATTATTGTAAAAAAATATTTTTCTTTCATTGATAATTTTCATATAAAATAAATTCAAACGAACACTAAAAAATAGATGATTTTCTTAAATTTTTTATTTATTATTTTTTTTCCTTTTTGGTGATGGAAACCAATGTCATCCCCAATACTAGTAAATTCTATCCTTTTAATTGATAATTTTCATGTAAAACAAAGTCAAACGAATATCAAAAACACTTTTATTTTAACATTTTTTACGTGAAAAATTATATCAATCAAATACAATAATTTACAATTCTCAGGAAAATAATTTTAGGCAATTCAATTCCCTAAAATTCGTTTTCCACCCAATTCAATTTCATGTTTGCAATCAAACGGACCCTAAGAGTAATTAATCTGAATTCAATCCCATACAAATTTTGGTGGTAACATTGTCGTTCGTGTTGCCACAGCTGCTCCTAAAATGTTCACTACTTGGAGAGGTAATTTCGTCTTTTGGGAAAGGTGAATAGGCTAGCCACCATTACTAAGGCCACGACAAAAGTGGGAAAATGAATAAAGTTCGTATCCGAAGAAGATGGTGAAGGACAACTTGAAAAGATTCAGATCACATTTAAGTTGTCTGTTATTGAGATCATTGAAGAATAATTATTTTCTTTTCTCAATCTCGATTTGCGTGATGTGCAGTAACATCATTTCAGCTCTTATTTTCAACCTTTTTTCCAATCTCGTAACATCGCCTTCTCTAAGTAAACAGAAAAGCAGATCTGAGAAATAGAATAGTATGCCAGAAACCGGGCCTTACGAAAATCTTTAGCACCTATAGGCTATAAACAGTAAGATTTGACAAAGACAGATTTGACAACATAAAATGCTGGTATAGACTATTCTTCGTCGTTAAGAACAATTGTAAAATTCACTACAAATCTAAATTCGAATTTCCGTCAATTGTTGGACCTAATTCTCTTCTGTCCAACTCTTCCGCCAGACTTTGTTGAATCGGCCTCGGACGAGCCCTCCTCCATGGATTTGGGGAAAGAGTTGGAAAGACCCACGTAGAGATCGACCACCGTTCTAAAATTGTTGTTGAGCTCTCGAATTAAACCCACATTTCGAGTCAAATTATCCGGGATCTTGGACTCGTGGTTCTGGTTAATCTTGTTGATTAACAGCTTGTTTTGATCCAAAATTTTTTGAACTTGCACAAAGTTTTTCTGAAATGTCTGAACAACTTTGCCTTCAAATTGTGCCTCACTGCCAATTCCAGAAAATAGATTGTCTTCCATATTACCTTCCAAACTCTGTGTAACCTCAAATTTTGAAACCCATATCATGAAATTTATTTTCTAAATTAGAAATAAAATCAGAAAAAGCAAGAAAAATAAAATGTATTCTTGTTCTCTATCTAAGCCTAAGGTAGCTGACTCTTTTATTGATGAAGGTACCTTTTCTTTTTTTCTTTTACTTGGATTTGAGTTCTAAGCAAAGTTTTGGTTCAAATGCTTAATAATTGTATCCTAAAAATCAGTTGTGTTTCAGAAGAAAATGAAATTTGAAAAACAAATATGATTCTTTTCCTCCAAATGGCCAAGTTTTCGTTCTTGTGAAGAAGTCACTTCACAAGAATCAACAAAAAGATCAATTTTTTGGCTAGGCCCAGAAGATTCCATAGGTTTAATTGACAAAAGAATTACAATTTGCAGACCATGACGGCTTTAACCTGATAGATTCACATAAGTACTCTCCTTGGAAAAAGGAAAGCAAACGAAACATGGAAAATATCTGCATAAATTAATTGACATGCAACCAAAGAAATCCAAATAAAACAAAACCAAACTCGGAAAAATTAGCAAATCTTCTCTGGGGTTACCTTGTAATTCAAAACCCAGGAAACTCCGTAGAAAATAGAAACCTCTGAAGTGGAAATTGGAGTCGCAAAGGCCCAGATGTCAGTTGAAATCTGAGCGTACACGTACTCACACAAACACTGAAGAGGATTCTGTTTGCTTGCGGAGGACTGGCGCCTGGTGGGTGGAGTTTTCTCTCTATCCGGAGAGAGAGAGAGAGAGAGAGAGAGAGAGACATATTTGTCTCCTCCTCGTTTACTTCATCTGCGAGATTCTCTATTCATTCATCGCCTGCTTTTTTCTACTAGGAATAGGAATAGGAATAGGAATAGGAATAGTATGCTCAAAAGTCTTGCCAGTCTCCTCACTTGGGATTACTCCAAAGTAAAGAGTTAATCCTAGCCGTTCCTCGCACCTAAAGGTGTGTAAATATAACATATACTAACAGTCTAACATTAGCCGTAATATTTATAGGATTTTAAATTGTACATAAACAATTACAAAATATGATGTAAAGGAAAAAGATTGAATGGAAAAGTTATTGTGTTTTAAATTAACAAATGATAAAGTACCGTGTGACATTATATAATTTTTGATATATATGTAACAGGATAGTAACATATACAAATATCAGGTGGTCACAATTTGGTCTCAATCAATTTTCTAACCACATTGTGAACAACGTTTTTTCAAAACCTAAATTAACACTTCCGTTTTGTTGCACATATACCTTCAATTTGGTAGTACGGTGTATAAAATGCACATTGTAATTTTTTCTTTGACTTATGACTATTTATTTAAATCATAAATGTAAATGAAAGTGGACTTCTTAGTTGAGATAAGTTTGTGCTTTCTATAAATGGGCATTTGAAGGCTTTTATCCATGTACATTTGCATTGCATCATCTACTTTTAACATATCTTGAAGTGACAATGCAATTACCATGACAACTTTGAGAGGAGTTGAAAAGGTAACCGGAAATTGAAATTTTGTTTACGAGGAACTTGACATTCTTACGTGCCTAAATTTGCCTGGCATTTTAAAGTAATTTGTAAAATAAACATAAATTAGGAAACTCTTACTTTTGTAACTTTTGAATGAGATGACTTGGTTTGAATAATAATTATCACTGACAGGGCAAAAAAAATCAGTAATTATCCAAGTTGTTATCTGTATGCGAAATAACTATTTGTTAATCAAATCAATTACTCTGCTTTTGTCAATCAACGAGATTGTTATTCTAACTTATTTTTCAATATTCGGTTGAATCAAAGAGTGTTTGGTTGGGAGATCCTGACATTCTTAGACCATCTCTAAAAATTGTAGATCGTTGGAGATCATTTTACACCAAATTTTATTTTAAATTATTTAATTACAAAAATATTTAAATTAAAAATTTTATTTAATTAATTAAAATATTGCATTTGTTAATAAATTGAAAAAAAATTAAATATAATACCATAAATTATAAAAATTACATTGAACGTACAAGAAAAATTTCATATAATGAGAAAAGACCTTCTAGAGTACTAAATTATTGTTTTAGTTAAATGTTGTATTATACTTTAATTTATGTTTTTAATATATTTATGTTGTTCTAGTGCTAATTTATTAATTAACAAATTGGTAATTTTGACTTTTTAATGAACAATTTTAACTTATTGTTGAAATAATAATAATTTATTAATTGATAAAATTTAAAAATAAATGTCAAATAAAATTAAGCATCACATTAAACTAATTATAAATCAATTAAAAGCTATTAATACTAAAATATTAAAGAGGGACGTAGATGGAAGAAACAATTTTTGTAAAATGGAAAGAGGGGCAAAATGGGGTTAAATGAAAAACTCTATATTTGGTGTAAATGTATATTATTAAGTCATCTCCAACGCTGCACAAAATCTTGCACTAAATTAAAATTCATCTCCAAACATTACACATTATTTAACCATTTTCTTTCCGTTTTTTAATTCTTTATAATATATTTATTTGAAATATTATTTATTTAATTATTTTATAAATACATAAATTACTAAATAAATAATTACGAAAAATATTAAATTCATTAATAAATCGTGTTTGTTATATTTTAAATTTTAAATGCAAAATAATAATAATTTATTGTATTAAAAAATATATAGCACAAATGAAACAAATACCTTTAATCGATTTATTTGGGAAAGAAAAATGAAGGGTAAAAATGACTTTATCCACTTTGCACCATTTTGCACTATATGATGCAAAGTTTGGTATTACATTAGAGGTATTTTGCACCATTTTTTGGTGCATTTTGGTGTTTTGGATTAAGCATTGGAGATGTCCTTACCATCTCCTTTTTTTCACACTATCGTCTAAATAATATATATTGTATTTTTTTGAGCTGCCCTTTCTATTATCTATTAGGTGGAAGAAAATATTATTAGAACTCTAGAACTAAGTCTAACTGGTACAATAGTTCATATTTGCGGTTTTCAGAAAAAAAAATTTCTTACACATGTGACTAAATAATAATATCTATATATCATCAAATTTTCGGATAGAGAATCAACTGTATCATTTTAATTTTTTCATGGTTTTTCTGTTTGTCACATTTTCAATTCTATTAATTATAATACATATTAAATAAAAGCCAGAATATTAACCGAGATATGTAACCTTCGATTCTCAGACTTACTATTTTATTATTATTAATTTTTTTTTTTTACATAGTATTAATGTGGATTAATGAGGCTGCTTTGGGCTTGCTGATTGCTCTCGTGAGCTTTTCTCACAGGAAATATTCAAATGACTACGAACTATTTATAAAAATGTAATGAGTCCCAGTGAAGAAGTATTTGAAGATGATTATATATATTAAAAATGATTATGCAAAATAAACTAGTAATTCTGACGTAGCAGAAGATTATAGAAAAGATGAACAATTACAAAAATGAGAAAACTCTCAAAGAAAATGTTATTGAATTCAAAAATTGTTGCCTCAAAGGGCTTACAATGCCTTAAATAGAAAAAAAATCTAGCAAAATTCGAAAAATAGAATAAAAATATGAGATAACTACTAAGATGGAAAAACCTTATCTTCAGGATCATCATCCAACAAACGGAATATAAATCCGAATTTTATGAAAAAAGATATTGCAAAAACAAAAATTACCATAAATAGCAAAAACGCAAAAACGAAGGATTTTGCCCAAAATTGGCCTTGCATCAGGGCCAAAGGCACTGAGTTTTATTCATTGTCTCGATTCCAATCGAATTAGACTAGCAATTCGTCAAAAACGAATGAACCCGAAGTTATCATGAAATCAAAAACCACACTTGTATATCTTGTGAAGGTCCCATTTCATTATAAACTCTAATTCCTTATGCACTTCATCAAATTCTAAACGATTAAAGAACCCAGGTAATAATTAAAATTTCAACAGAAAAATAGGTACTTGACCTGCTTGCCGTATAACAATTACAGTTTTTCGTATTCTACACAACATGAGACCACCTTGAAGCCCAGTGATTTGGATTCTCTTTAAGAATCTATAGGCCTCAAGAAGGCACTCATTCAATGTGACTACCAATTTTTTTTTTTGTCAAGAATGATAAAAATTGAATATTCAAGATTTTAATTTTCACTATATTATTTTAAACATTTAGTACATGAGTTTTTCTTTTAACCATTGAATTGAATTGGTAACCTAAAATTATCATTACTAAATGCTTCTGATTTATTTGACCTACAAATATTTGTATATCGCCAATGGAGAAAGAAGTCACATTTAATTAGCAAATTCATAGTACTTAATATAAGAATTGCATATTAATTATGATAAAGCAACACTCAGAAAAGAAACAGGGCTGTTTTTAGTATGCTTAGTTTGGACATTTTTAACAAATGTCAAGGTAGTCTAGACATTTCGATGTAATTCATGGTCAGTTTTAATTAAAATTGTCATTTTAGTTTCAAAAAATACATTACATTTTAGACATCAGTTAAATTGTTCGCTTCAAAATCTTATGAAGGTCGCTCTTAACAGGTTCAAGCACCTATAAATTGCCAACTCGACACTTGGCAAATGCGTTAGGATGCAAAGCTGTGGTTAATGGGAGGTGCATCAACGATTTGTACTCTACTCATGAGTCAAGTTTCAAGATTAAGCGCTGAAAATCGAAGAAACAAAACTTTGACTGAGTTAGAGAATATTCCCTACCTCATTGCTATGTGATTTTGTGGTACTTATAAAGAAGGTTTAAGCCAAGGTTATCCTCAACATTTTGACTATTTTTAAGACGATGGGTCGTCAATTTATTCGTACGAAAATCCTCATTTGATATCTTTTATAATCGTTCTCTCACTTAAATGCCTTCGCATTTTTGCTTAAAACAATATCTATATGCGACGTGTCCTATGTTATGGGGAGGTCTACCTTGATTTGTGTCGAAAAATTTATGATACCTTGGGTTGGTTGGTTGTGTGTTCAACTCTTTGTCGGTGGTTAGCATCTTCTACAACAAGTTCATTTTGAAAGTGGTTCAATTATGATATCCTAGGTGGTTGCAGGTGGTTTAAGGATAATCTACGGACTCAACTAGATTGAAGGGCAACCTCATGGAGCAAAATATAACGAATAATTAACACACTAAAAGCTAGTTGATTCGAAAATTTAGGTGTCAAATATCTGTCAATACACAATAATTGAAACGATTGAGAAAAATAATCTAAAAACACTACGCGGGTGAGATATGAAGAAAACCTAATGGACTTGTAAGGTGATTGATTAAATAGTAGAATTTTCCCTAAATAAAACGGACAGGAGAATGCCGTTTTGTGCACAGCTTTTGCATTATGGTAAAGGCGTGTTTAAGTTGGGGAAACAAAAGGGCCAAATGGGTAATGTCGTGTGTCAGCAGTAGGAATTATCAAATTAGATTTGCCCCCAGAGCATAGTCCAGTGGTGCAAAGGACAGGAGTGAGATTAACTCACGCCTTGTTGACAGTCACAGTGTGGGGGTTCTATTTCTGTGACATGGAATTGGACTCCTTATAGTTGCAGTTTACAGATAGCTCTTGTTTCCTGACCTGTTGGGTACATCCCGCGATTTACCTTCCTCATAAAGTTCTAGGGGCGGTATCGTGGGGGCCTCAAGGTTGGGTTCAACCTTTAATTATCAAATTAGACTCATAATTCATCAAGTAAAAAAGTCCACCCACAAATCATACATAGCCACGTGTATAACTTCTAGTCTAATTTTGGCATTCCACAACAGAGAAATAACTATTGAGAATGACTATAGACCTGCGTAACAGGAGATGATAGCCGACTCAATGACCACAACCTGCAAAATTTCAGAAAAATGAAATGAAAGGGGAACGAAAAACGAGGTTTTTATTGCAGAACGCATAGAACAGAGAGCAGTGACAATAAACGGATGCAGATATACATAGATTCTGAAGGAGGAAATTAAAAAAAATATCCATTTTGACATGATCATTTACAAAAACATCTAATATTTTTCAGTGTCTATTTTTTTTTTTATATCCAAGTATCCCAACTTTCACCAGACTAAATTTTGAATCCCCAAGACTCTTGCCCCTAGAATCTTGGAGGGGTAAATCGCGGATTATGCCTAAACTGGATCACAGGTCCCCTTCATTACCTGTATACTTTTGCGCACAAGAGACCTTCCTCCACAGTGATTACTCCATACCAAATATTTTGGCCGCAGGTTCCCACCAGGAATCGAACTCTCCACCCTGCCGCTGAAAGCAAGACAATGTTGATTGATCCACCAGTTGAGCTGTGCCCCGAGAGACGTTTTCAATGTCTATTTTTACAATTATTTGGATGAGAGTATCCCTAAATAACTTTCATGACAAGTTACATTAAAATGATATTCTTAATATTTCAAATGTCTTTCTCGAAATTTGAATTCGTCTATATTTCAAAAGTACACATGTCAAATCACAATATTAAATATTTTCAACATTTCAAATGTTGTTCTCAACATATTAAATGTCTAAAATGACATTTCATTTCGAACAATGATATTTTTCTACACTTTAAATATTATTCTCGACATTTCTGTGTTTAAAATTAATTGTGATTCGACATGTGCAATATGAAATTATTTATTTTTTTATTAAGGATAAAATAGATAATTTGATATCAAATTGGTCATTTATGTAAAAATTATCAAAAATCGACATTTTTAAATTGACATACGTAAATTGGGATATTTTTGCAAATGTCCCATTCTAAAATAACAAAACTATTTTCTTCCATATATCAGGGTTTTTGATGACAATATATGCACACACTTTTCTGTATGTACTATTGTGCTTCTTTTGTTTGGTTTTTGACATATACAAGTCTTCTTTCCTGAACTTTGAAGTTTGAGCTCAAGTCGATTGAGTGGTGAGGGTTTGTTGCGATCTTTTCGAGAGAACAAAAATATCAAAATAATAATCAGTCAGCATTATTATAGTATGAGTAATTGGCTGGGGTTTTCTCTGACTCCACACCTGCGAGTTGATGATGAAGAAGAAGCCTTTGGAAGAGATGAAAATCCCTCACAAGATGAAAACGCTCAAGAGGGCTGTTTTCAGACTCCTATTTCTATCATGCCTTTGCGTTCTGATGGCTCTCTTTGTGCATTGGAACCTTATAGGCGCTCAAATGGCACTGATGGTTTGCATTATCCTATTTTCTGCAACATTTTTCTTCTGTTTTTATGGTTTTTATCAACTGAAATGAATCTTGATACTTATTATATTTTTTTTCCCTTAGAGTGGAGTATGGAGACAGCAAACCCTACTGGGGAGGGTCCGAAATTTGAAGATTTTCTGGGGTGTTGTTACTCAAGTTCACCTCCGACTGAGCCTAAAGTTTACTGTCAATCTGAACCTTGTGAAATAAATGTTAACATGCCACCAAACTTGGATACTTCTGATGGAGGTGCTGACAGAGGAGAAACTTTCACAAACCCATCTTCTTTTTTTCAACCATATCACTATAGTTTAGTCCCAGCTGGTGGGCAGCTTGAAACCTGTGGTGCGAACCCTAGCCATGCCGCTAATGATGTGTGCCATGTAGCGTTTGATAGTGCTGAAACTTCAGTTTCTGGGTTCAAGTCCTGGATGCGCCAAACTCAGTTTCTGGCTGAGAAACCTCCAGCGGAGAACAGCAGTAATTTTCAAGTTCTTTCTCTTACTATGAGCCCCAGTTCCCAGCCGGGTCTGGCGGTGGGACCGCCGCCTTTGCACTTGGCTGCCGATAGTAAGAAGCGGACAGTAGCCAAGTCTACTGCTGTTGGGGAACCTGTACCGCGTAAATCGATCGATACTTTTGGACAAAGAACCTCTCAATATCGCGGTGTTACGAGGTAAATTGTTGTTTTCCAAAAAATAAAAAAAAATGTTTCAGAACCTCGGGATTCTGCACTTTACTCTTTTTTATTTTATAATATATACTTTCTCTTCTTGATTTGCTATTGATCATGATACTGTGCTAGGCATCGATGGACTGGAAGATATGAGGCTCATTTGTGGGATAACAGCTGCAGAAAGGAAGGACAAACGAGAAAAGGAAGACAAGGTGAGAAAATACATAAAACTTTTTTCCAATCACTCATGTTTATCTATATGCATGTATCTTTCTCCCCTTAAAGAATATACTGATCTGTTTTTTTTCTTTTTTGGTCCTTTCAAATTCTGGTTTATTCTTTTTTTTTTTTTTGCCTTCAGGGGGTTATGATAAAGAAGAAAAGGCAGCTAGGGCTTATGATTTGGCTGCTTTAAAATATTGGGGTCCAACTACTCACATTAATTTTCCTGTAAGTTGTTTTTTGATGTTTTCATGTTCTTTCAGTTGAGCCATTTCAATTACCAAAAGTGAAAAGATCAAAGGTTTTGGGGATTGACTTGAACTTTAATACTGTATAATCCAGTTAAGCGCCTATGAGAAAGAGCTTGATGAGATGAAAAACATGACCAGACAAGAATTTGTGGCCCATTTAAGAAGGTAGATATAGATATAAGCATATGTCTCTATTCTTTTTCTAGAGGAAAAAATTTGAACTTGATTAGTAAAAAAATTGTTTTTATATCGTCAGGAAGAGCAGTGGGTTTTCCAGAGGGGCGTCAATGTACAGAGGTGTCACAAGGTTGTGGCAGGAAAAAAAACTTGTGTTCATTATTTACTGCATTTTTTTTTGCAGCTCTTTCACTCATCACTTTTCAGTAACAGACAAATGCATGAATTAGATACTATGAATGTACATTGGACGTTAACGCACATATTTATATCTACCAACGGTGCATGTTTTTCTTTGTGACAATTTGATGGGTCTAATTTCAAGCAGGCACCATCAGCATGGGCGGTGGCAAGCTCGAATTGGAAGGGTTGCCGGCAACAAGGACTTGTACCTTGGTACCTTCAGTAAGTTTATGTTTATAATTTTCTAGAACTTATCTTTGTGATTATCTTCAGTGGTACATTCTAGTAATGAATTTATAACTAAGCACGTGAACTTGGTATGGATTTAACATCCGCACGAAAGCTTTGAAGGAGCAAGTTGTGTTACAATTTTTAATCTTGTGATCTTTATATTTATTAATTTTTTCCTAAAAACCTAGGTACACAAGAAGAAGCTGCGGAAGCCTATGATATTGCTGCAATTAAGTTTAGAGGGACGAGTGCCGTGACCAATTTTGAAATAAGTAGGTACGACGTGAAGAGGATTTGCTCAAGTTCAACCCTTGTTGCAGGAGACCTCATCAAGCGTTCCCCTAAGGACTCGGGTCCATCTTCCCTCGTGGAATACAATTCTTGCGCATCAATGGCCTCTTCTCCAGCTCTTCTCCCTATTACAAATGGAGAGCCTAGCAATGAATTGACAGAGATGATGTGGAATGCTGGCACTGATGAGCCTCTGCAGAACCAGGTTGCTGTGAATACTAATGAACAATTGGCTGGATCGACCAGCAGGAACTCCTCCAGCCTGCAAGGTCTGAATGGACCAGTCTCGGATTCAGCCAGAATGGATGTGGAGTTTGGAGGTGGTGCAAATTATCCTCAAGCATATTTCCGGTTACAAGGGGAGAAGTACGACGACGAGGGGACTAGTGCGAGTGATCCAAATTCTGAATGGGTAAATCAGGTCCCTTTGTTTGCACTCTGGAATAACTGAAGAATATTGGTTGCAGAATTGGAAACCTGGAAAAAAAAATGATTTGGCTTAGATTTACACATTTCATCAATGGTAGAATAATGTTCGCTTAGAAGTTTTAGCTACTCTGCTAGGCAGGTTTCATCATGAATGGTAGTTAAGTGAAATTCTAGAGTTCATCTGTTTTGTCTGTACGGTTTTTGATGACCTGAAAGAAAGAGAACCAACGAGAATTTTGTTTAGTGGCGAGTCTGTCTTCATTTTGTTTCCAACGTTTCTTTTCTGCTCTCCATTTATTAAAAGAACAGAAGTAATTTTCCAAAGAAGATGGAATGTCAAGTATCTTCTAGTCTTCTTTCCTTGTCAAAATCTACCTATTGTTGCCTATATTCCGAAGTATAATTACTTGTTATTCGTGTACATCATGTAAGATTTTCATTGTACGTAAATATTATCTCTTTATGTACGAAAATGTTAAAAACTACGGGATTCCCGTTTGACTTCAGGTATAATCTAACTTGTCTGACTCCGACCTCAAACCTGCCTTGATTTGCGCGCTCTTTAATATACGACGTACACTATAATCAAACAGCCAAACGCTCCTTTTCCAACTTCAACAAATGAGTATACCACCGTGCAGTTGTTTTAGGTGTCAACGAATCTGGTTGTGCCGGCTCACGAGTGCGTAGTCTGGTAAAAAATGTTCAACCTTTTTTAGCTCGACTCGAGCTCAAGTCCGGCCGAAATTTGGAGGTTTGACTTGGGTTTAACCGAGCTAAAGATTTTTTTTAATTCATGAAATATTCATAAAAAAATGTCAAATGAGTTATTCTCTTTGACTAAAATATGATAAAAAAAAATATTCATATAATTACGAGAATAAATGAATTAGAGTACAATTTTTATGTGTATAAATATTTTGATATTCACTTGTAAAATTTAAAATATTGGAATAAAAAATATTTTTTTTTGAATTTTAACAGTACAAGATAATATATAATATTATATTAACCCTCATATAATAAAATTTAAAATTTAAATCAATAAAATGTAGCGGGAATGCTAATGAATATGATAATAAATTTAAATATAGATAGTTATAGTATAATTATGAATATTAATTATGTAAGCATATTTATATATAAAATCTTAAATAAAGTATTAATAAAATAAAAAAAATTGTAGCAACAATCCGGGTTTTTGGAATAGTGTTTCTTTCTTTAGAATGGGTGGTTGAAAAAAAAAAGAAATTTTTTTATTTACGTGTAATATTATTTATGAAATGGTTGAAAATAAAAGAAAAAAAATGATAATGTACAATAATGTGAGCAAACGAGAGCTAAGCATTACGCGATTTTCTTTGAAAAAATCAAAAAGAAAAAGAAAAGAGAAAGCTGATTTTATAGCTATAATAAAAGAGGGAGGATTAGTTTTTAACCATTTGTATAATAGAGAAGGAAGATAGATGTATGGGTGGCTCACTGGCTCTGTTGTGAAGGCGAAACAACATTTTTTAATGAGTATTTTCTTTGTATTTAGGAGATAGATTCGGTTTCTGAGTTGCTAGTCCGTGAAGCAAGAATGTCACTTCAGGCTACAGCTGCAGATCCTATGGGTAATAGGTTTTTACAAATTCACACGACAATGGACAACCAACCTACGTACTTTGACGCCACACCAAAGACGTGTCTCTTTCGGAGCTACAGTCTATATTCATCCTTTAGCTATCATAATTTTTACGATAATACTATCGGTACATCGAGGGTATCGAAGCGTGTACATAATGGACAAGCGACGACCCCCTGTTGGAGGAAGTACCTGTCTTAGGTACACGTTTTGGTACTCCTGGATGTATCACAAGTTTAATTCTAATTTTTAATAAGGATAGTTCCAACAACGATCTCCAATCTTTCATTTTTTGTATAATTTACCTTAATATTCACTTTATATCAATCGCAGTTCCAAATATTTCAAAAATTCGCACTTGGGTCTAAATGGATGGAAACCATCCATATTGCCGTTGGTTGACCAAAAAAAACTCAAAATTCCATACCTAAGGCGAGTTTCTTTCGGAGCTATATAGTGTATATTTATCTTTTAGCTACCATAACTTTTAACAAGGATAGTTGCAACAGTGGTTCTTAATCTTTTATTTTTTTTTTGTAAATTTTACCTTAACCTTCACTTTGTACTAATTGTAGTTTCAAACCTTTCAAAAATTCGCACTTGAAGTTTAAATGGATGGAAACCATCCATCATGCCGCTGGTTGACAAAAAAAAGTTAAAATTTGATTAATTTGACCAAATAAAAAATGACAAAATGATACTTTGCATTTTCGTTCACATTAAATAAGTTAAAAGTTATACTAAAAAATAAATAAATAAATTATACGCACACACATATAAACCCACCTTAGTTCCCACTCCACCCTAAAACCAGAAAACCATCCATTTACCACCTTAACCATAACTCCCAAAGTTCGCAAAAGTTGATTGGCTTTACCTCCCACCTTCACTTCCAAAATACTTCAATTTTGTCCCTTGGACTATCTTAACTGATGCGATGGAATTCAAGAGAAAAGGTGCGAAAAGTGACCAAAATGAAAGAAAATAAAAGTTCGGGGACTAAAGTGTAAATAACCAAAATTTGAACCAAAAGGCGAATCGAGAATGTAAACGAGCTAAGTATCAACTTGAGGATAATCAGGATAATCAAAGGAAGAAAAAGAAGAAATTGGCCAAAACGGAGAAAAATGAAAATCTAAGGACCAAAGTGCAATTATCCAAAAGATGACCCGAAGGAGTAATTGAGGATTTGATTGAACCAAGCAATTGGAGGCCACTATTAATGTTTGAGTGAAAAGAATGGATAAACGAGATCAAAATTGAAGAGAACAAGTTTCGAGGACCAAAATGACAATTTCAGGAAGTTTTTACTACTATGCGGTCACATAGTAGTAATGCCCATGCGGTCGCATGCATGGCATCAGAGATTTCAAGGGCCAAAATATCTACAATGCGGTCGCATAGATCAATTTCGGGGCCGAATCCTGTAATTTCCTGTTTTTGTTAAAACTCTTGTGAAACTTCGTTGGGAAGCGATATATAAACCCAATCGTCAAATTGAAGAAGAACGTCTGGGGAAGAAGAATAACTCATATTGGAAAGGATTCTACACCATAATTACGAGGAGAAACGTGAAGATCAAGGAAATTACGCTCCAAGTCATACACCGGTGATGCCGTTTCTTACAACCATGATGTATTTTGTTCTTTTCTCCATGTTAGGCTAGGTTTTCATGTACTAGGAGATCGATGAATTTCGTGATATTATTTTTACTTTCTAGTTTGTGCACATTTGACATTGAAATACGTGCTTGAGTTTTGAATGATTTATACACAATTAATTATTTCAATAATTATGTGCACGTAATTATATGAATATAATGACTTATTTTATGCATTTAAGAGAAGGGGAATGAGTTCGATGGGTATAAATCATTACAGGGTCCCATAAGGGATAGAGATATACCGCTATGCTTTGCGTGAATCCTTAAATGCTCACAAAACCACATACATTCTTGTATACTTGCACTCATCATAGAAATATAGACTGGTGAGATATGAGAATATGTTCAACTTTACTCAAGAGAGATTGTTGGATAGAATTAAGAGCATTGATTCTTCAAAATATCAACGTGTTGTCAATTTGTGAAATTAGAGTTAAAAATGGACATTGCGTGTGGATTCGTGATCCTAGTGCAATTTTTATTCATTGATTTCATCAATTTTGCATTTCACATTCATTTTGCATTTATATTCATGTGAGTCATACATATTTGCTTATTAAGTCAAAATTAGAGTTAAGTGATGTTATCACAAATCTTGTTATATCTTTCGATTTCGGTTAAGGTGAAGTAGATAGAATTAAACTACTCAATTTCTGTGGGACGACATTCAGACTCAAATTTTCTACTTTATTATTTGTTAACGAACCGTACATTTGTGGTGATTTAAATCGAAATAATAATTTCGTGAACACTCAGCATAACGATAAAATAATTAGATTTCAAACTTGACATATAAATTTAAGAGCATGTTTGGCTACGCTTAACGGGCGGTAGTAGAACCATACGCCCATACCTGCTTTAAATCTATTCCTCAAACAAAATAACAAATATTATTATAATTGTTTCAATCAAAAGAAAATATGTTTATTTGATAGAAGTCAAAAGACTCCAGAATCCAAGATAATTGAGCAAACTCATACACAAAATTGTGGGCATAAAGCAATTGGTAGTATCCTTTAGCAAATAAAAGGAGGAAAAGCAACAATTTCCAATGCATTGAGATTCTCTATATAATGGAACATGCACGTCCATTCATGGCAATGGCATGTCCCATACCTTTATTAATTTCCTTCTCATTTTCTCTGCAATTCTGACCTTTCTTCCTTTCACTTTCAATTGCACAAATAATGCCAACCCATTGTGTTGCTCAGGGAACTTGAATAAATAGGAAACTTCAACTTAGTTAGGAAATAATGCGTAAATAAATATTTTCAGTATGTAGAAATTATTTATTTACAATTTTGACAAACAAAAGAGAATATGGAGTTCCAATTTTAAAATGTTTTTGATGACGTGGGAACTGGCAGTCGTTACCCTTCGAGTGCACACTGGGTAAACTTTCGGGATGATTCAATAGCCTACAAACCACGTTAGTCAAGTAAACCGCACTAGGCAAATTCGATGCGACAAGCTCAATCGAGAAAGTGTTGGTAGGTGTCCAATTTAAAAATGTTAACCTTGTTTGGAGGAATAACACAATATTGTCATCGTTATCTGATATGAGGTTTATCCTTTTTACACTAGTTAGATGGTTGCTCGTTCGAGTACACCATTTTAAAAATTATGTACTTGTTTAAGTCTTAGTTGGATTTAATTGAACTTAATGCAAGGATC